TTATAAATTAAATAATATATAACAGTAAATTGATCAAATTAAATAAATATATATTAGTTTTAATATTTAGTAATCAAACATTTTTTTAGAATATTTTGGTATCAATAGTACTTTTGTTGATAACTTAGCTATAAATATTTTTTTTTGCCGATTCATATATCCCTTTTTTTTTATTTGTTGGTAAAAGAATGGGGAATAATATAATCTTTTTTTTTTACAAATTCGTAAACCAATTTTCCGATTAGAGTTTTGTCGGTAAATGAACATAAATAATATAAATTTTTTTTACAAATTGGTAACCCAATTTTCTGATTACAGTTTTGTCGGTAAATTAAGATTTGGTTCAGACCATAGTTTCGTCGGTGACAATTTTCAAACATAAATTATTAATTATTTTGCAAATTGCTAGTTTACGTTTCTGATAAAGTTCTTGTCGGTAAATGAATGTCTAGGTCTCAATTGTACTTTATCGGTGAATATTTACAGAGATATATTTCGTTAGTAATTTACCGACGTGACTCACCTAGAATGAGCTCCGACAGTATGGTTCTGGCAATTAATTAGAGACATGTTTTTTGTCGGTAATTTGGAGGAAGTTATTGACACGAGTTTAAGTCACCTTGGGGAATTGATTACCAAGCAGGCTTACACCAACACGACTATCACCGATATGATTTTTGTTGAAAATGTTTTTTACCGACAAGATCCCCTTTGTTTTCCAACATGGCTTCTTCTCGGTGATGCTGTGAATTCTAGTAGTGAATATTTTTATTTATTTTTTTACATAATTTTATGTGTCATTTAAATAATTTATTTATTTATTTATAATATATAATATTAAATATATTTATTTATTTAATAACATATAAAAATTACATAAAAATTAATATAAAAAATTATTTCTATATCATCACTCAAAATTTTAATTTCTAATGCATTGATTTTAAACAGTAAAAATATTTAAGTATTTTTATCTATTATTTAATTTAAAAGAAAGGAAAAAGAGGAAATAAAAGAGAATATTCTTGCATTTCCATCACATCCCTTCTTCTTTACGCTTTCTTTTTCTACGTTTCATTATACTAAAATTATAAAGAAAATTAAGTGGGTACTTCTTTTTTTTTTTTTTGAATAAAATGGCAATGGTGGAATTCAAACTTCGAACCCACTAGAAGAGGGAGATTGCACATTTAAGGTGGCTCGAAAGCCACTTGACCCAAAGGGCCAGGTGCAATTACATGGGTGCTTCGATCTTCTCATTCTCACAAATTTTTATTATTCAAATACAGTAGTAAAATTTACCTTATCCCTAACCCTTAAATTAAAAAAGCCTTCATTTGGGGTGCTACGCATAACACTTTTTTCTGCAACATCTCATCTAAAAATATAAGTTTATTATAATAATTAATTTTAATTAATATTTTATATACTATTTTAGTAATTTTA